TAGAAGAAATAGAAGCGGTAGCAGAAAGCGAATGGAGGAAGAAAGCCATATACAGAGTTAGTTGGAAAAAGCTGGAGCAGGCCTTTACCCGTGAAGGAGTTCCGATCGACGCTACTAAAGGTAGGTAGGATATAGGATATATAGGATAAAGGAATTTAATTACGTTAGTCATCCTTTCAAATATGTCATCTGGTGCCAATGACAAAAATAAGAAGTTAAAATTTGAAAAAATAACTAGATTCTTGTTATTGTTTAGTCTAATATCAACGGTCCCATTTCTATAGTTCTCAGCAATCTCAGCCCTGCGATTCTGTAACTCACTATCTGATAAACAATAAACTACAAGATCCCACCTTTTCAGAATGCCAAATCATAAAATGACTGCTTCACGACAGATTTGAGAGCGACCGCCGATGCGAAAACCGCTGTGTGAGGCCGAAAAGTGAGTTACAGAATCGCAGGGCAGAACTCGCAGGGCGGTTTTAATATTCTCTTATAGATTTGTACAAAAATATCATTCGTCTTCACTTAAGAACATATAAATTAAAGATTTGCATTTTTGATAACATATCTATTTGTGGTGGATTGTTTATAATGGATGAACTCAGAATCTACTGATTGGTTTGATAATATTACTGGTATTGCACTATTAGGGGTAGGACTATTCGTAATAACTTCATAAAAATTATATTGATTATTTTGAGAAAAGTACGTGCCATCGGCCATTATAATCTAAAACTCTTTGAGATAATATATATATATATATATAATAAATTAATGACGGAGTTGTTCTTTTTCCATTATATGGCTACAGAAAAGGGATGACCAACTAAAATATAGCTTACCCATTTAAATGTGTAGAAACTAAATGTTTTTAAATAATATATTTAAACTACTTATATTAATCACATTAAAGTAGTACAGTATAAATAAATGTTACAATACAAAGAAAATTAGTAAACCTTTGTTTTGACTAAGATTTCCTTTTCTATCATTTTTTTTTTCATGTGTGTGTTTAATCGTGTACTACGTTTTTGGCTTTAATGTTTGAGTCATTGTATAGATATAATTATTATAACTGTCTATTGGAATACTAAAAATCAAATCGATTAAAACTACTTCGAGGACCAAGAGGTCGCGTGTTCCCATGGCAACTGTGCGACCGAATTTTTCTTGCGACCTACAGTAATCATACCTAGTGCAAACTTGCACTGCAAACTTTGCAAACTATAATTACCGTGAGCGTTTTATAGGCCATTATACATAACAGATGTATCCTAACAATATTTCCGTTTATTCCGGTATTCATTTCCTACGCACGAAGTAGTTCATATATATGTCGCAGTAAATTAGTTAAATCAGCGAGTTAATTGAATCTCTAGACAGTTAATTAAAGATCGATATTCGATGAACTCGTTCTCTCTGAAGCGTTCTGATTTAAATAAACCAGCGTCGAAAACGTTTAACTATCTGTCTGACCGAAATCCAGCGTGTTGATTATAGGCCGGGAGATCGTGACACAAAATAGTTGGTCATTTGTACCAGTATGGCGGTTGTACAGGGGTCTTATTACGAAATGAAAAAAAGAATTTTGATGGTCATAGCGCTGGTATCGGCGGCCCAAGCGCGTGGGCGGTAGTCGAACTCGTCGGATTAAGTACGACTTTCAAACCATTTGTTCCACAAAATTTCCAGAATTTTCCAATAGTCCATAAAAAATAAGAGGCGGCAGTGTCATGCCATACTTCTCCGGTGTGACTTACAGCCCGCCATACCGACGCGAATGCGTTGATTTAAAAAAATTCTACCATTTGTACCAGACTAATTTTTGCACAGTTAATCATCGTCGCGTCGTTCAGCCATTTACGAAAATCACCATGCCATACTTTTCGGACGGATCCAAATGGCCGCCATACCACCGAAAAATGCCTGTAGGAGGCCATTAAGTAGAGTAATTTTAATTCTTCACAACATCATAGTACTCGTATTATTATTATTTAAATAATACCCTATTAATATGTAGTTTCTTAAGTTTTTTGACACTAACTACACAAAAAAAAGTAACAAATACTTACACAATGTTTTTTTTTTAAACCCTATCGCTAGGTCTGCTAGTTATATATCGTATATATCATATATATAGCTAGCAGACCCGGCCAAGCGTTGCTGTGGCTAAGGTTTTTGGTATATAACATAGTAGTAAACTATTCAAGGGAAACGGTAGGAGAACACCAGTTATGGGGACCACCATGCTTTTTTGGTGGTTATGCCATTAAATTGTAACTTATGTGAAACGTTGGTACTTTCAACATCTGTTAGAATTGTGACTGTCAAATAATTTGCAATAAAATAATATTTCGGGTATAAATTGAGATGTAAGCTATCCTATTTTATAAGTTATATCAAACTGCACACGGTGTGAACACATATAGCCTATTTCCGACAGATAAGCTGACTTGACACGATCAAGTAACACGGTGACCATTAATTATCAATAGTGTAAAGATTATTTTGGCGAGTAATAACTTTGGAGGGGCCCCTCATACTTCTAATGGTGGCCATTCACGGGCGATCTATATGGCTTTCGCGCCACTGCACGGGCTCGATACTCGACGTCGCGCCGAGCCAAATTCATGCCATTCACGAACGCGCCAGCGACCATTTGATCATTTTGAGTGTAGGCGTCGATAGCACCGGACGTGTTCATAATGAACTTCGATTCAGATGATGAGTTTTATTTATCGACCATAGCGATTTGTCTAGTTTTAAAAAAAGAGAAATATTATGCGAATGGATGAACCTACCTATTTTAAACTTTTGAAACTGGTTACTCCTCTGATTCAGAAAAAGAACACTAATATGAGGGAAGCTATAAGTCCTCATGAACGACTTAGTGCCACTCTTCGATTCTTAGCTTCGGGCATGTTATGTGAGGAGTTGAAATTTCCTACACTTATCTCTCCACAACGTTTGGGAGTGATAATTTCTGATACATGTAAAGCTATTCTTTTTGCTCTTAAGGATTATATGAAATTAAGTAAAAATAACTGTTATATTTATGAATATTCTTTATTATAAAAATCAAGTTACAATTATTTATTTATTTATTTACACTTTGTTGCTTTATGATATAAAAATTTAACAAAATTACAAGTAAAGGAAAGGCAACTGGCGGCCTTATCGCTTTCGAGCGATCTCTTCCAGGCAACCACTGTGAGAAAAGAAAAAAGTAAATGTATTAAATTACATAAGGTAGGCAAAAAGTGCAAAAATACATGTATTACATATACTTGTAAAGAAAAAGAAACTAAACAGGACCAAAAAAAAACAAACTAAACTAATAAAGGATACATTAAAAAAAATTTATACTAATAATAATAAAAAAGTGCACATGAATCATTTTAACGATGTCGACAGGTAATGTTTGTTATTAATGTTTTTGTTAATCATCGGCCAGATTTTTTGGTCTCTTGTTCTAATTATTGTATTAAATCGTCATAGTACCATAATTTTGGAACATGGATGTCATCTGTACCAGCTCCTGATTGCATTGATGCTTTAACCTGAAATAAATAAATAATGTATTTATTGTTTTCTTTTTAACCCTATTGTGACGGTATTTACGACGAGAAGTCAATTAGTGTATGAATAAATTCCAACCTGTATATTAAATTATAAACAAAGGATTAATTTAATATCATTTGTCTATTAATAATTATTATTATTTTATTTTTTATCCCACTCTCGGTCCGATATACTACGACTCATTGGTCTAGTGGTTAGTACCCCTGACTGCGAATCCATGGGTCCCGGGTTCGATCCCCGGCTGAGACGACCATCGATGTGATGAGCATTTGGTGTTGTGCTTAGGTCTTGGGTGCTTAAATATGTATTTATATGTCTATCTATCTATAATATGTATGTATATCCGTTGCCTAGTAGGTACCCATAACACAAGCTTCACCAGCTTAGCATGGGACTAGGTCAATTAATAATGATGAAGTAACAATGTATGTGTGGGATAAAACTATAGCTTCTAGGGGTTTTCAGGAGATTGGTTCCTGCTTGTTGCGTTTCATCAAAGAGAAAGTCAAGACTAAAAAGTTAATTATGTACTCAGACCAGTGCAGTGGTCAATAGAAATATTAAAATGGCTACTCTTTGCCAGTATATTGTTGCCCATACAGATTATGGCGCGTCTAAACGGGCCATGTTTTGCTGCAATTGATGGCTGCACTGTTGGCCACTAATTGCCCGGCCATTACAAAAATATTTTAATGCAGCTGATGGCCGAACAATCTATGGCTGGGCAATGTGTTGCAATAGTATGGCCCATGATGCAGACTCCTAAACGGGCTACACAAACCGGCAACAATGGCTGACGAAATCACACTTGTCGCAGCAGCTTATATTGTTTTAAAAAATAAACAGAAAAAGAAGAGATTGTGGATTCGACCTTACTTAAATAGGCGTGAAACTGTAGACAATTTGAGTCTAGAAATAAGTTAATAAATTATTCAAGAACTAGAATGTCAAAAGTAGTCATTTTTACGTAGTAATCTAACGTCAAATACAGCTGATTCCAAAACACAGAATAAAGCAACAGGCACACTTCACTCAAAGCAAACGTCATGTCGCGTAGAAAAGGATACACTATGCCATAACAAAGAGAGTGACTGAAACAACAAGAGAACTGGCCGTGCAATATTGCAGTTGAATTCGATAGCCTAGCGATCGTCCGGCCACCTATCGGGGCAACATCGGCCATATGTGGCTATACAAAACATGTTTGGCTATATGGCCGGGACATTACTGCAATATTGCATAGTGTGGCTGCTATTGTTTGCAATGTTGCCGGCCACAGTGTTGCAGCCATCAATTGCAGCAAAACATGGCCCGTTTAGACGCGCCATTACACAGTAGATAACATAGACCATAAGTTCTATGTCAGTGGGCACTCATACTTAGCATGTGACCAAGATTTTGGATTAGTAGAGAAGATGAAAAAGTTTTTCAAAAATATTTACTTACCTGATCACTGGACTACTGTTATTAAGGTAGCTAGGGACAGTAACCCATTTGATGTCATAAAAATGACAAGGGATGACTTTATTTCAACAAAAAAGCTGGAGAATAACATTACCAACAGGAAGATAACTACTGAAAAATCAAAGGTACCCAGTGGCTCAGCATGCAGTGGCTTTTGTTTAATAAAATGCATCCATTTACTTAATTTTTTAAATATTCTAATAATGAAGATGTTTTATTTGAAAATGTAGATTTAAAGAAAAGGGGCTCTACAGATATGACTGGTATTAAGCTGGATCCTTTATACCCTGATGGACAATCCATCAGTTGTGAGAAAAAAAAGGATTTATTAGATCTATTGCCTTTTATACCTCCAGTGTATCACAGCTTTTATACCAGTATCAAAGATAATGCGGCTGTAAGAAATGTCATAGATGTTGAGGATGATATTGATAATGACTAAGAATACCATTATTGTTATTTCTGTTGATGTCACTTCTTTTTTAAGTGTTTTATAATAAACAATTGGCCTAACAACCATTTTTTTCTCACCTTTTTATAAACACCTACTGCCAAAGTGGCCTATCTGTGTATAAAATATAGAAAAATAGCAATAAAGCTATTTTCTCACTATTAAAATCATAATTTGGAACATTAATAGGTCAAATAAAACATAAAATTAATTAAAAGTATGAATCCTGAAGAGTGCTAGTTGATTTAAAAAAATACTATTTTTATTTTCTATGGTACTCAAAATACTTGTCAATTGAATTAAGCCACTATGGTTCTCATGGCCTGAAATAATAAACAGCTAGGTTATAAGTATAAGTACTTACTTTATTAAACTCTTTCCTGAATGAGGCAGGCAGGTGTCAATAGTGGCGTTAGGCGATTTGGTTTTATAAAAACTTAGCAAAACCTCTAATGCTGCATCGCGTTTTTGTTTGTTGTGGTAATTTATATCTGTCACATCCCACAAACACGTCAGGTCTCTAAACTTATAAATAAATTGAATAACAAAGTCACGGTTTGAACTCATTGCGAAAACGATTTATATTAACAATGCGTCACGTGCTTCTCGTCCAACGGCTAAACGCAAACTGAAATCAAAATGGCGTGTTTGGCTCGCGAGTAACACCATTCACGAGCGAGCAAACCGTAAAGGGCTTATTACACTACGCGGTATTCAGACAGTCTTACTAAGATTTAGCATAATGTAATAAGAGTTAGCAAGTTAGCCTGTCTAATTAGACTGACCGAATGGGTTCGGCGGTGCTTACTTGCTTACTTGCTGAATACCGCGTAGTGTAATAAGACTTAGCACGCTTAAGTCTTAACCGTTCAGTCAGCGCGTGGCAGCCGCAGAGCAAAGACGTTCGTACATGTTTGTTTGCTGTGGCCGCGTGCACCATGGCGTGTTCGCAAGAAAAAAAAGTACTTTTCAATATTATCAATTTGTACCGAGACATGCCAAATTTATGGCTGCATGATTGATTGATTTATTAATAATTGATGACCTTAGGTTTTTTTTTTTAATTTTTTTAATAATTTATTTCATAACCATGGATACAGAGTCCTTCAGGATGACCTTAGATCTTGATAGGAGTTGCCCGTTGCCAGGAATCTTAAAGTAACTACCAATATTTGTTAGGACTGACACTTTGTCTAAGAACCGTATCTTCTTTTTGAATGTATGGAGTAACTAATTTCAATAGACATTCAAACTCGGTAACTCCTACTCTAAGGTAGTTTCTTATGGTGGCCATTCACGGGCGATCTATATGGCTTTCGCGCCACGGGCTCGATACTGGACGTCGCGACGAGCCAAATTCATGCCATTCACGAACGCGCCAGCGAGCCGTTCCATTTGATCAGTTTGAGTGTAGGCGTCGATAGCACCGGACGTGTTCATAATGAACTTCGATTCAGAAGATGAGTTTTATTTATCGACCATAGCGATTTGTCTAGTTTAAAAAAAAAGAAAGCCAAAAATAAAGTGGTGTAAGGATTGGTTGCTGAATAGAGAAAAAAAATCACCCACATAAATTTAATGAGGAATTGACTTTGGAGCCAACTGCTGGAGAAATTATATGCGAATGGATGAACCTACCTATTTTAAACTTTTGGAACTGGTGACTCCTCTGATTCAGAAAAAAAACACTAATATGAGGGAAGCTATAAGTCCTCATGAACGACTAAAGTGCCACTCTTCGATTCTTAGCTTCGGGCATGTCATATGAGGAGTTGAAATTTCCTACACTTATCTCTCCACAACGTTTGGGAGTGATAATTTCTGATACATGTAAAGCTATTCTTTTTGCTCTTAAGGATTATATGAAATTAAGTAAAAATAACTGTTATATTTATGAATATTCTTTATTATAAAAATCAAGTTACAATTATTTATTTATTTATTTACACTTTGTTGCTTTATGATATAAAAATTTAACAAAATTACAAGTAAAGGAAAGGCAACTGGCGGCCTTATCGCTTTCGAGCGATCTCTTCCAGGCAACCACTGTGAGAAAATAAAAAAGTAAATGTATTAAATTACATAAGGTAGGCAAAAAGTGCAAAAATACATGTACATATTTCATACACTTGTAAAGAAAAAGAAACTAAACAGGAACAAAAAAAAAAAACAAACAAAACTAATAAAGGATACATTAAAAAAAAATTATACTAATAATAATAAAAAAGTGCACATGAACCATTTTAACGATGTCGACAGATAATGATTGTTATTCAGTGAAATTATCGGCCTAATTTTTTGGTCTCTTGTTCTAATTGTATTAATTCGTCATAGTACCATAATTTTGGAACATGGATGTCATCTGGACCAGCTCCTGATTGCATTGATGCTTTAACCTGAAATAAATAAATAAATAATGTATTTATTGTTTTCTTTTTAACCCCATTGTGACGGTATTTACGACGAGAAGTCAATCAATGTATGAATAAATTCCAACCTGTATATTAAATTATATTATATATATGTTAACGTAAAATTGTAAATACCGGTAGATTGTAATCTATCTCGCGAGATTATAAACTGTCGAAAGATTGTGAACTCAACTTACTGCTTACAATTTAACGTATTATTATTTGGTAGATTATAATCTATCGAAGTGAAATCGTCAAATTGTGAAACGGTACGCACCTCGCGCGCTGATTGGTCGGCTTTATAGTAGACGGTTATATTATGTCCATAGAGTTAGGAATGAAACAAGGGTATCGGTCAAATAAAATGAATGCACTTCAAAAATTAGTATTTATTATATTTTTTTTGGGTGGGGTGGGGGGGGGGGGGGTGGGGGGGGGGGGGGGGGGGGGGGGGGGGGGGGGGGGGGGGGGGGGGGGGGGGGGGGGGGGGGGGGGGGGGGGGGGGGGGGGGGGGGGGGGGGGGGGGGGGGGGGGGGGGGGGGGGGGGGGGGGGGGGGGGGGGGGGGGGGGGGGGGGGGGGGGGGGGGGGGGGGGGGGGTGGTGTGGTGGGGGGTGTGTGTTGGTGTGTTGTTGGGGGGTGGGGGGGGGGTGGGGGGGGGGGGGGTTTTTTTTTGTGTGTGTGGTGTGTGTTTGTGTGGGGGGGGGGGGGGGGGGGGTGTGGGGGGGGGGGGGGTGTGGTTTTTTTTTTTGTGTTGTGTGGTGGGGGGGGGGGGGGGGGGGGGGGGGGGGGGGGGGGGGGGGGGGGGGGGGGGGGGGGGGGGGGGGGGGGGGGGGGGGGGGGGGGGGGGGGGGGGGGGGGGGGGGGGGGGGGGGGGGGGGGGGGGGGGGGGGGGGGGGGGGGGGGGGGGGGGGGGGGGGGGGGGGGGGGGGGGGGGGGGGGGGGGGGGGGGGGGGGGGGGGGGGGGGGGGGGGGGGGGGGGGGGGGGGGGGGGGGGGGGGGGGGGGGGGGGGGGGGGGGGGGGGGGGGGGGGGGGGGGGGGGGGGGGGGGGGGGGGGGGGGGGGGGGGGGGGGGGGGGGGGGGGGGGGGGGGGGGGGGGGGGGGGGGGGGGGGGGGGGGGGGGGGGGGGGGGGGGGGGGGGGGGGGGGGGGGGGGGGGGGGGGGGGGGGGGGGGGGGGGGGGGGGGGGGGGGGGGGGGGGGGGGGGGGGGGGGGGGGGGGGGGGGGGGGGGGGGGGGGGGGGGGGGGGGGGGGGGGGGGGGGGGGGGGGGGGGGGGGGGGGGGGGGGGGGGGGGGGGGGGGGGGGGGGGGGGGGGGGGGGGGGGGGGGGGGGGGGGGGGGGGGGGGGGGGGGGGGGGGGGGGGGGGGGGGGGGGGGGGGGGGGGGGGGGGGGGGGGGGGGGGGGGGGGGGGGGGGGGGGGGGGGGGGGGGGGGGGGGGGGGGGGGGGGGGGGGGGGGGGGGGGGGGGGGGGGGGGGGGGGGGGGGGGGGGGGGGGGGGGGGGGGGGGGGGGGGGGGGGGGGGGGGGGGGGGGGGGGGGGGGGGGGGGGGGGGGGGGGGGGGGGGGGGGGGGGGGGGGGGGGGGGGGGGGGGGGGGGGGGGGGGGGGGGGGGGGGGGGGGGGGGGGGGGGGGGGGGGGGGGGGGGGGGGGGGGGGGGGGGGGGGGGGGGGGGGGGGGGGGGGGGGGGGGGGGGGGGGGGGGGGGGGGGGGGGGGGGGGGGGGGGGGGGGGGGGGGGGGGGGGGGGGGGGGGGGGGGGGGGGGGGGGGGGGGGGGGGGGGGGGGGGGGGGGGGGGGGGGGGGGGGGGGGGGGGGGGGGGGGGGGGGGGGGGGGGGGGGGGGGGGGGGGGGGGGGGGGGGGGGGGGGGGGGGGGGGGGGGGGGGGGGGGGGGGGGGGGGGGGGGGGGGGGGGGGGGGGGGGGGGGGGGGGGGGGGGGGGGGGGGGGGGGGGGGGGGGGGGGGGGGGGGGGGGGGGGGGGGGGGGGGGGGGGGGGGGGGGGGGGGGGGGGGGGGGGGGGGGGGGGGGGGGGGGGGGGGGGGGGGGGGGGGGGGGGGGGGGGGGGGGGGGGGGGGGGGGGGGGGGGGGGGGGGGGGGGGGGGGGGGGGGGGGGGGGGGGGGGGGGGGGGGGGGGGGGGGGGGGGGGGGGGGGGGGGGGGGGGGGGGGGGGGGGGGGGGGGGGGGGGGGGGGGGGGGGGGGGGGGGGGGGGGGGGGGGGGGGGGGGGGGGGGGGGGGGGGGGGGGGGGGGGGGGGGGGGGGGGGGGGGGGGGGGGGGGGGGGGGGGGGGGGGGGGGGGGGGGGGGGGGGGGGGGGGGGGGGGGGGGGGGGGGGGGGGGGGGGGGGGGGGGGGGGGGGGGGGGGGGGGGGGGGGGGGGGGGGGGGGGGGGGGGGGGGGGGGGGGGGGGGGGGGGGGGGGGGGGGGGGGGGGGGGGGGGGGGGGGGGGGGGGGGGGGGGGGGGGGGGGGGGGGGGGGGGGGGGGGGGGGGGGGGGGGGGGGGGGGGGGGGGGGGGGGGGGGGGGGGGGGGGGGGGGGGGGGGGGGGGGGGGGGGGGGGGGGGGGGGGGGGGGGGGGGGGGGGGGGGGGG